TGATCGAGTTATAAACGTTTTTCTAACTACACCAAAACTACAGTTGGTAAATGTTGATGTCGACGACAGTCGATAAAAGAAATAAAATTCTTCCACAACCGATTATGATTATGAAACGTTTTAAATATAGACACTTGATAGAGCTTTTCAAGGGCTATCAAATAGCCATCTTCTTGTTTTTTGTTTCACAAAGTATGAAGGACTAAAATTGAAAAAATTGTTTTTTTAGTTGCAAAGTAAAATCGAGATCGAAGCTTCGCAGTATTTCTTCGATATTCTTTTCTCTTTACGATATATAGAAAAATGTTTAATATATTTTTTGTAGAGAATTTTATGGCACATCTTTTAAGAAAACAACAAAGCTTAAGGGATACAATTCAACTAAGATATGAGCAAAATACTGAGTGACAGATTTATTCTGGAACACCCGTTACTATCTATCAGGCAACATTTACCTAGTAGAATATTAGAAAACTAGAACAGTAGAATTGTAGAATAGCAGAATAGTACTCTTTTTTTGGCTGTTTTTTGCTTATCTATTTGGGTTAGGAGCCACCGCATGTATGCTTTCGAGAACGATGGTAGAATAGTAGAATAGTAGAATAGCAGAATGGTAGAATAGCAGAATATTACACTGTAAAAGGTAAAGTGTCTTGTAATATGAATTACAAGATCATATTTCCAGATTTTTCACCCTGAAACGCTACATATTTCTTATATGTCAAATTAAAGGTTATTTTAATCGGACCTCAATGGCATAGCCTTTTGTGATAAAAAGAAGTAAAAACTCTTTTCAAAAGATAGGATTTTGAAAGGTTCCGTTGAAAATTCGTTCAGTGTTTCAAAATTTGCATTAGAAATTCCAAAATTTCCAGGTTTTAGACGACACTGAACGCTATTTATCTATCTGAAACAACAAATACATTGCAATTTTAAACTCCGAACGAACTTTCCACAGACCGTTTCAAAATAATACCTTCTAAAACGAGTCTTTACTTTCTTTATCACAAAACACTATGGCATTGAGGTCCATTTAAAATAAGCTTTTATTTGATATATAACAACTAATTGTACTTCTGGTGGTTTAGGCTGTAGTCCGTGGAAACACTATTCTACTATTCTGCTATTCTAGTCTTTTATTATTCTAATCATTTCTATCCAACAACTTAATTCATAATATAATGAAGTAATGCAAATTATGCACTACTAATATGCCTTAAAATGTTCTTCTATTCTACTTTGCATCCTACAATTCTAACTGCCAAACCGAATACTAAACCAAGTGAAAATTTCTATCTAACGGAAATTCGCCCAGCTCTGAATATTCGAGCTTTTTACATGATTATTGACATGTGGTGATGTGAATAACGGTAGTCTCACCATCAATAATCTTCTCCTCAGCCTCGGAAGAATAGGGATTTAAAAGTTAAGTTTTAGTTCGATCCTGAAGAACTGTCGAATTCATAAAAATATGGTAAATCAGTTCAGCCGATTCTTCGTGCGAATAATCCTATGTATGCCTATAGTATAAAGACGAGATGCATAGTGTAAGATTTTGATGTAAAAATATACTTAGCTTGTAGATATGATGGAGAAATATAAATTACATTTTTATATTTACTAGTAAATATATTTACTTTACAAAAGTAAATACTAAATAATTACTTTACTTTACTTTACTAAAGTAAATAGTAAATATTTTTGATAAGTATAAGACCTTTTGACCTTTTATTATACCCAAAAGTCAGACAGAACCAATAAAAATCGAAAAGATCATCAAACAACGAAAACATGCTTCTTTATATAGAACAAAAGGAAAACCTCTCATTGAGTCGGGGAACAAGAATAAAGAACGACGAATAATCCTGACTCAGCATTCCTGAGTCAGGGTTGGTCACGTATTTATGTAAGAATAGATATTCTTACATAACAATTTTATAGTAAATATTTTATTTACTTTACCTTATTTACCTAAACAAAAAGTAAAGTAAAAGTGCCACCACTAATACAATTACGATCACTCGAATCAATATTTGACATCATTTACAAATCTAAATTATACAATAATCTATAATTATAATGAAAATGATGATTTAAATTTAATAAGTTATCCAAATGGGGGTTATATTGAGTATAAATATGATTATGAGATTTATTTTATTTTGGAATGTTGCTTATAACTGAAAACAAAAACTATTAAAAAAATCTCAAATGTTTTATTCAAACCCTTGTGAAATTCAAATAACTTTAAAATCTGATAATACAACTTCAAAATATAGTTGAAATTTGTTAACGAATAATAATTTTAGTAGAAATGCAATTGTAACAACAGCTATTTTAAGTTTCATTTTATTTTTGTTTATTAATTAAGATTAAAATTGTTTCGAACAATACAGTGTTCATTCTCAAGAATTCAAAATATATGATTAAGCTAAACGGTAATTAATTGATTATTTGAATGCCATTATCAAAATTGCGTTCAAGTGTGTTGGGGTATGGAGGTTTTTAGAAAAGTTTCTGAAAACCTTGAAAAGCCGACTTGTCGAAAAAAATTTAGTTTATGATAAAAAGATAATACAACTAATATTTTCAATAATACCAGGACATAGAGCAAACATTTCTGATCAAAGTGAGATATCTACCAGCTCTGAATGATGTTCTGATCAAGAGTTATGACAGTTTTAGCCCTAATTTGCTGCTCAGCGCTAGCACACACGCTAAATCATCAGCAAAACAATTAGACAAACAATTCATAGTAGATATCCACATCTCGGCATGATAAGTAATAAAGAGAGTAGGCATAAAGCATGAATCTTGGGGACCTCCTCTACAGACATTAAACCATCTCGATCGAATGCCATTAACTTCTAAAAACGCCCGTCGTCCCTTAAGCCACATTATAATCCATTGACGATAACTTCTAGGAATCCCCAGTTGAGCAAGTTTACCAATACAGCCTTCTCACCAAAGCTGATCAAAAGCTGATTTAAAATCGTCAAAAACTGTGGCAACTGGAGCAGAATTCGCCATATAAGATGATATTTGTTCCACTAACATTAACACTCTAGTTTGTAAACGAAAACCGGGTCTAAACCCTGACTGTGTATCAGGCAGTATTCCCCTTCCTTGTAAAATTGTTTGAAATCTGACCAAAAATAATCTCTCAAGAACTTTCAGAAAGGTGTCTAACAGTGATATAGGTCTAGTACTACTAACCGCACAAACCGCTTCTTTTTTTTAGCTAATAAAATTATGCGCACTTCTTTCCAAAAGGACACTAATTCAAAGTCGATAAGTGTTTTATTAAACACTTTTAATAATAGTGACCAGAATTCTAAAGGGGTAAACTGTAGCATATGAGGTGAAATACCATGCGCATCACAAGAGTGTTTTGCTTTCGTGGAATTCACCACCTTGATTAGTGCGAGAAAGGTGATCAATGGAATATCTTTACTTTCGTTTTCCCATTCAATTGGCCGTCGAAGGTCCAAATAAGGATGAGGTCTATACATGAACTGACTATAGAAATAGTTCTATTCTGTTTAACCTTTATTTTTATCCAACTAAAATAGGCAGGGCATCAGTTTATGAAAAAAGAAATTAAAAGACCGTCTCTGTCCAAATTACGACTTGCGCGATCACCATTATTCTTCTTTATCATTTTTAGTAGTCTTTACCACGTCAATCTTTGGCGTCCAATGTTCGTTTTCAACTTCCGCTCTAATATTTGATTCTCCAACTTCTAATTTTTGTTGTAATTCCTCTAATTGAAAAAGCCAATTTATAAAATCAATATCTTTAAAATCATGTGTGCCTTGACTTATTTCTAACTTATTTTTAATTAATTCAAATTCATTTTGATATTCGACAAGATTTTCATCTAATAACTTTTGTACTTTCCCTCGAGCTTCTTCAGCCATACGATGTATTTTCGATGTCGAATCTAATTCCCATTCTGTAATTTTCTTCATCAATGGATGACTATTTCGTTCAGCTTTTGAGTCTTTTTCTAAGTGTATTAATTTTTGTTTAACTTGTAGAATACGTTGTGTTCCCTGTTCATCAAATTTTTTTAATAATTCTTTATGAACAGTCAAATGTCTTTAACAAAATCGTTTATGACATTCATCACATTCATGTAGTCCATTGATTCATCACAAGTTAAACATTGTGCACGAGGCACACTTATCTGACGTACCATACTATTTAATGCCATTTTCGTGTAGTTAAGTACAGTACAGTGAAAAAAATGTACTATAGCTTACTATTTGTACGCTTGAATGAAATCGGATAGTGTTGATAAATTAGTGAAAAGAAAAAGAAAAAACATTTTGTGAATACAGTAATTGCCGCATTGCCTATGATAGGTCAAAAAATGATCGGAGAAAGGACAGGTAGTATAACAAAAACCTTGCTATTCTAATGTAGAATTAGAAAATAAAATGCTAGAGAAATGCGATTTATGCAATAAAGCCGCCCCCTCCCCTATCCCGGACTAGAAACCTATCTCAGCCCAGGCAGGTCTAACCTGAAGCAAACTTTCAGGGAATGTTGACCATGTTAAAGTGTAGAAACGCAATCTTTTGATGGCGCGAGGTGTAACTATTTGTGAGGGAGTGTCACAATAAGGAGCAAAAATGGGTTTCTATCACGTGCAAGAATTCTCATTCCAGGTAAATAATAGAGAGCTCGCGTTCTTTTTGTTTTGCGGTAAATATCTATGACTAGGAGTTGACAGAGCTCGATCTTTGAATTTCGCATTTTTTGATTTCTGATGCTTAACAGAACTTTAAATTTCGAAAAAGCTGTGGAAGGTTTCTTAGAATTCCTCATGTATATAAAAAATGGAAGCATAATTTAAAAATCGGACTGTGTCAAGTCCTAGCTATAGGCGTTACCTGCAAATGAAAAAAAATTACCTTTCTCCGATGTATCGTTACTGAGAATTCTTGCACGTGGCGAAAGTGCTAAAGGTGAAAAACAGTTTTGAGAAAACATTCTGTTAAATGCGTTTTACTTGATAGCTATTTGAGTGTTAAATAATTTCTTGATACTTTTACAGAGGTTATCGATCATGATGGATCTAACGGTCCCGTGCGTCACATGAGTGCGCATATGCAAGCATAGTTATTTGAAAAACAGGACATTTTTCAGTCTTTTTTTTCATGGTAGGGGTTCTGGAAAACTCGCTGAAAAACCATGAAAGGTCTATCCTATCGACATTATGCCAGTAGAAAGCTATCGGACCATGTGTTTTCTCAAAATCAATATTTTTGACGAAAATCGGCATTTCTGACCCGCAAGGGAAAGGGACTTCTTTGTTGAGACCTATGGAAAGAATGAAAGAGTGAAGGTTCCGAAAACTGGGATATAAGGACGATAACATAGTGTTTACGATAAACGCTATGTAGATATTAGATCAACTACTATCTGTAGCTTTGCAGTTATGCTTCAGAATAAAAAAAAGAAGCAGATCGCTTCACGAAACTTCTGTTATACGATTTTTTGGCCATCTTGAATAATGGATACTGAAAAACGCAATTTTATGCAGAGGTGCTTTCTTCCTCTTGGTTTTTCTACGACTAGAAAGATTTTGTGTTTACTTTCTCTGTTTACATGACTTCGTTCTTTTTGCTTATTGTTTACATTCAGATATATTTTGTTTATTCAATGACGACTGGTGTTATGACTTTAACGGATCACATCCCAAAAAAAAAGATCAGTAAGATGTGTACAGTCAGGGATCCCAGATTCAAAAGATGCAAATCAGAAAAAAATTAGAATACGAATTGTTTGGTGCTCAGATAATTAATTATACCTTTTTAAACAATAAATGTCGTATTATCATATTATAACACATTATATCTGTTAAATAAAACGAAATTTCAGATACCGGTTCCCAGCTTGAAACTTTTATTGAGTCGCATCAGTTTCTAGTTCTATCAGCAATGTAGAATCGACAGTAGAGTCCTGCGGGACAAACTTTGCTGTTGCCCCGAGCCCGAACAGAAAAATTTTCCCGTCCCGTAAGCCCGAGCCCTTGAGCAAATAATGTTGTCCCGTGAAAAAAATGTATGGCTTTTTTGCCCCGTCCCGTTTGTCCCGTAATTTTTTAAAAAAGTTTTTCTGCGGTGATAAACCGGAACTATTACAAGTGACGCGCCTAAAGACTCAAACTCAGTTTTGCAAAAAATTCATATGACAAAATTCAAGCCTATTTTATTTGGGTCTAAACTTAAAAATTGTAGTATAAAATAATGCTCTACATCCACTCTTTAGCTCGGAATCGAAAGGAAAGAACGGTAAACCTAGTTTTAGATACGGAACATCTTCTCAAGTTTAAATCCGGATTATTTCGCCTCTCCTGGTTAATTTTTATTAGTTATTGTAAAATTAGGTTTTCACATGATAGTATTGATTGGCCCAGGACAAATGGCCCTCCTCGTATTTTGCATATAATTTCTTTTCTTTTCAATCCTTAGACCTCATCATTTTTCAAAAAGATGCGCCGTCGAATTCTCTACAAGACTTGATCAAACTTATTTCTATAACAAGTTAAGGAGAAAAATGAAATGAAGAATATTCAATACGATGAAAAGGACCAACTTTCTAAGCTCAAAAATAACGTTTTGTTCCACCACTTTCATTGAGTTGGATGATGAAAAGAAGAGAATACACGCATTTTGTAGCCATTGAAAAGCTCTATCAACCAGTATTA